AAAACAAAAAAAAAAATATAAACTTAAAACCATTTTGCCCCTTCATTTTTTCTTAAATAAAAAATTTAAAAATTAAATTTTATCTTAACACCTTCTTTACATTTTTAAAAAAAAAAAAAAAAAAAAAAAAAAAATTAAACAAACATCATCATACATGATAATCTTATTGGATAAGTTAAATTCGATCATCATAAGAGTAAAAATGTTTCGCAATAATAATCATTTTAACTTAATGTACTCTCTATTCTTGAAAAGTTAACTTAAAATTGTTCTATTTGAAAGTGACTATTGAAATATGCACACTGTTATAATATTTTTATTTATTTATTTCTAGAGTTGGTGTGCATCGGGTAATTGTCTTAGTCTTCATCATGAATATGATAAAGCCATTCAAGCGTTTAAACGTGCGATACAAATAGCTCCAGAATCTGATTATGCCTATACATTACTTGGTAATGAGTACGCTGTTATCGATGAATTGGAGCGAGCCTTAGCATGTTTTCGTAAAGCAATACAATTGAATGGAAGAAGTTATAAAGCATGGTTCGTATACTATTTTTTTTGTTCTATATTTTGTAACAGCGTTCACACTTGAAGTTTGAAAATGTTAGATGTTGGATTATTACTACATTTTTCACATTTTCTGTTACCATCGCTTCTGATGTCCAAATGGATGAATATCTCCTTGTACAAAATGCTTTATATCATTGAATTTTGTTGTATAAAAGAAATATACTTAGGGTCTCTTGTCCTTTTATGCATTGTCATCTTGTTTTTCTCAATACTTAAGGAAATTAAAGGTAAAAGATTTCGGAATCTCACTGACAGTAAATCGTTGTTCAGAAACCATTTTCTGCTTTAGTTTTTTAATTTTATCAATGAAAATGTGTCCCGTTTTCCTTTGTTATTACATACTAGTTAATCCATCAATTTTGATTTAAGAAGATATTAATCATATTTTCTTGAAATACCTTGACTATACCGCACAAAGTCTAGATCTAAGACAATCATTCACATCATTTAAGTTACCTTTTAACCGTAACACACATCTATCAGCATATACTAATAGTAAAATAACATTCGTAAAAATCTATGATGCTATTTCGTGATATAATTAAACATACAGAAAGTTTTAAATAATAACATAGTTTTGAATTAAAATTGGCAATTTTTTTCACTTTAACATTGACTTCTTCTGTCATCTCATAAAATATTGTCTAAATCTTTAAAAGTTTACAAATGTATCTTTACATCATTTTTTTTACTATTTTCTTTTTTACCTGATGGATTCTTTTGTTGTTGTATTCAGAAAACTTGAACATGTAATAAATCTAACAGTTTTGCTTTGCTGTTTTCTACTGATCATTTTTTCTTACTCTATTAAAGTTTATAAACAGAAAAAGTTTTCACATTTTTTTTTACCTGACAAACTTTCTTATATATTTTCATTTATGTTCTTTAGGAATGGTGTAGCACTAGTTTATTTGAGACAAGAAAAATTTCCAAATGCTGATTTCCATTTTTCCAAGGCAGCTAATATATTTCGAACAAATCCAGATCTTATTTGTCATTGGGCAATTGTATGTAATAAAAATAAATGTTGCTTGTAGTATTATCTCTTAGATATGCATATATTTTTTTTTTATATTTCAGGCACAACATAAATGTCATCGTTCTGAAAGTGCTCTATCATTACTCAATGAAGCATTGAAAATTGATCCAAAAAATGCTTTATGCAAATTTCATAAGTAATGAGAAATGTTTGTTTGTTGTTTTTTTTCAAATAACAACTTATTTTGTTTTACTTTTTTTGTTTTCTTTAGAGCTGGTCTATTACTTCATCTTGAACGGTATCATGAAGCATTGAGTGAATTAGAAGAATTAAGACAAATAGCTCCAAAAGAATCTCTAGTCTATTATTTATTGAGCAAGGTATGTGTAAATTAAATTTTAAAATAAAATATATATATTTTTTTTTCATTTGTGTTTATATGACAATCTATAAATATAATTTATCTATTTTAGGTTCATCGTCATTTAAAAAATTTTCATTATTCATATATGTACATGTCATGGAGTATGGATTTAGATCCAAAAGGTGCTAATAATCAATTGAAAGAAAATGCTGATAAACTTTATTCAAAAGATGAAGATCTCTTGCTGGGTATGGAAGAAATGGCATCGTCTATTACCGAAGATGATATGAGTCAAATGGCATCACAATCATCACTACAAGACATGCAACCAATGGATTCTAGTGAAGAAATAATTTAATTTTAAACTTGTTTTCATTTTCTTTCTCTCATATTCTGTCTCTCTTTATCTCTCGTTTGTGACATATTTTATTATTCTATATCTTTGGTTTGCGCTCGTTCCTTCTATGAAATTTATGTTAAAAGAAAAAAAATTTCATGCTCAGGATTTGTTTATTCCTTTTTCTCTTTTTTTTTTTTCTTCTTCTATTTATATAATTCTGAGTATCTAGTGAAAAACGATGTGTGGTGTTTTTTTTTATTATTATGTATATGTGTTCTTCTCTTCTTTTTTCTTTTTTTTTTTTTTGCTGTTGTTGTGTTGAATAAAAACTTCTGCTCTAAATTTTTGTTTTTGAGAAAATAAGCATAATGTGCTTTTTCCTACATGTCTCTCTGTCTACCTCTGTCTGTTTGCATACGTTCTCTTTTCTCTTTTTATACATATTCATTCTTTAAAAGACGATCATCACCATAACTTTAATCATTTTTCTTTCTTCTAAACTTTTTTTTTTCATGATATCATGTATAAATAAACATGAATTCATATGGAAGATAACTGATAATGAAAATAATGTTTAAATGGATCTAGTCTTGATTATGTTACATAGACCATTCCTTCTTCTTGCATATGTTACACAAATATCTTTCAATATACTTCCTAGATTGACAGTAAAACGACGAGAACATTCCAGTAAGTTTTTCTAAGCGAAAAGGGAGGATAAAGCTTTCTGCTTATATCATTGTGTGATATTTTCTTTATTTTTCATTTAAGTTCAGATATTTTTAGGAAAAGAAAACATTTTGTTAAAGATACACATTTGCGGACGTACATAGAACGAAAAATTGAATTGTTTTCATTTTTAGAAATTCTGAAAGTCAATTTTAAAAATTGATTGAAGCCTTTAGCATACTTGTAGCAGAGATGCAACCGGTCAATAAAATCATGACCGGTCACTGGTGATCATGTGGCGACCGGACCGGACCGACCATTTTTCTAAAAATTTTGACCAATAAGCGACTGGTACTCGCATTTCTCAAGAACTCTTTCCGAATAGTAATTGGTATAAGAACAATGAGCCCTTTGCATTTCTTCTCATTTGGAATAAAGAATTTCCCCCTCACCCTCACTGTATCACAGACAGTTATATAACAGACATTAGTCAATACATTCACGCATTACGTATAGACCGAAAAAATATGAATATTTCAAGCAGAGAATAATGAATGTGGTTATTATCTTTCTTTAAGCAGTACAAAATGATACTAAATATGCTTTTTTCTGTCATATTTTCGACGTATAAGCCAAGCCAATCAGACCCGGTTCAGCAGTTTGACCGGAACCGGTCGAACCCTCCGGATCGGGAACAGGCGCCCCGTCCGGTTGCATCTCTGATTTGTAGAAGGTAAAACGGAGTATCAACAACTGAAATTTCCCCATCGAAATTTCGGCATTGTCGTTTTTGCAAAAAATAGAGTTTCTGTATCTCACAGCAACTGAACTGTGACAAATAAAAAAAATCACACAAATTACAAAAATACAAGAATACACAGATTACAGATTATAAAAGCACAATATTATTATTTTATTATTATGCCCGATGTATGATGCTATTAAAAATTTTCCTTCAAGTGCAAATGAAAATTATTGTCGAAATTCCGTTGGATTTTCGGAGCTATTGTCGAAGTTCATTGTAAATACGACAATGCGAAGAAAATTATATCGATTTTCGACAATTGTCGAAATTGTTGGCGGCTTTGCTCTGTGTATATTCGACAATACTGTGAAATTCTAGGATATCTTGTAGAACAATAGAAGAGCACATTTTATTTGGTAAATCTATTATACATTCATTAACTTTTATAAAATACTAGAATAAAAAACAAAATATTCGCTAAAAGACCCAAAATTTTCAATTTACCAAAGATTCGAATTTTTATCAATATTCTTTTTTCTTTTCTGTCATCATATGTGAAAAAACAGTGCCCTTTACTAATCCTTAATTATCACAATAACGTTTAAAAGCCTTTTTTATCATTTAAAAAATCTGAAAATGTCTATCAAAAGAGTACTTTGTTGGTGGAGTCTACTATTCACATGTAAGTAAAGTTTGAATACACTATGAAAGATTAATGGACATTTATTAAATAAAAAATTAGGTGTGTATGTCAAGAGTGCACATGTTCAGTTTCGTATTAGTAAAGTTCCTCGATTTTTCACACCTATCAATGACAATTTATTTCTGGCAGGATCATTTAATAATTGGAAACCAAATGATGAACAATATCGCTTGATAAAAAATGAAAATCAACCACTAGTGTATTCATTGAATGTTAGCTTACCATTAGGTTCATATCAGTACAAAATAACAAGGGGCACATGGGAAAAGGGTGAAACACTTGCTGATGGAAGTCAAAAATCAAATAGATATCTTCAGGTATCCAAATAAAATATGATTATTATTATTAATTTAATAGTTTTTGAAATAATGAGTAATTTTAGGTTAATAATAATATGGATGTGAATATTTCTGTTGATAATTGGTCGGATAATATTGGAAAACGTACAGCATCTAATCAAGTCTTTATATTAGAATCGTCATTTTCTATGTTTCCTTTTTTTAATCGAACACGTCGTATATGGATCTATTTGCCTCGAGATTATTTTCAAAATATCGTCAAATCTTATCCTGTAATTTATGCTCATGATGGACAAAATTTATTTGATCAACTTTATTCTTATTCAGGTGAATGGGGAATAGATGAAACTCTTGATAATCTTTTTCAGACAACATCATCAGTTGGAAAAGGAGTAATTGTTGTTGGTATTGATAATGGTGGAAGTGAAAGATTAAATGAATTAACTCCATTTTCTAATTCACAATATGGAGGTGGTCAAGCAGATAAATATTTAGAGTTTATTATACAAAAATTAAAACCGTACATTGATACACATTTTCGTACGAAATCTGAACGTGAACATACAGTTATTTTAGGCAGTTCATTAGGCGGTTTGGTAAGTTTTTATGCAGCTGCACGTTATTCTCATATATTTGGTCGTGTAGGCGTGTTTTCACCATCATTTTGGTTCAGTGATGAAATTTATCGATATGCCAGTGCCATGTTCACTCTATCTGATATTAATCCCAAATTATATTTTGTTTGTGGAGGAAAAGAAAGTGCTAGTACAATTCCAGATATGGAAAAAATGATTCAATTATTAATTGATAATAAAAAATATACGATAGATAAAAATATAAAATCAGTTATAAAAAATGATGGAGAACATTCCGAATGGTTTTGGAAAAGAGAATTTGTTGACGCAATACAATGGTTGTTCAATAATTAACATCGTACAAATGAATGAAGTTTCTTTTTAATGTTTCTCGTTATAGACTATTTTTCTATAAGAAATGAATGAAATTAGAAACTGTAATAGTTAGCTTGACAGAATAATACACGAATTACATGCACTAATAAGAAAATTAAAATTCAATTGAATCTATTAGAAAATTTTCATTTGATATAGAGAAATTTTTCCAGATGACGTTTTTCAACTGAACAATAGAATGAATTAAATGGCGACCAACATATTTCATTTGAATATTTTTCTACTCCAATTCTTCATATTGATCTCATTTAATGAGAGTTAGTGTGATAAATTCATTAAGCAATTTTTCTAACGTATAAAACCCGACCAAGCTTGTCTTGTAAATTAACAAATTTTGTCACACTAATAAAAACATGTGACACTAAACCATACAAGTCTTCGGTATACAATTCTATTGATTTAATTATCATTTGAAGATTTCCTCTTCCATCTGTCCATCAAAGATCAAATAGGAAAGGTTTTGAGTAAACAGGATTTTGTTTAGTAAAATCATCTTTACCATAATTAAGAAATTCACATACAAATTTTGCAGCATGTTTCTGATCCTTTAGGAAAGAAAAGAAAGATATATAAAAAAACATAACATAAATTGTTTAGTAATTTTCGTTCGTATATAGCATTGTTTTTTGATATATCTGTAACTGAATTCTTTTACCTTTATTGATAGACAGTTAGTCGAAGACACTGCTTTTTTTGTCAAAAGTGGCTTCTAATGAATTTAACTATACTCCATGCACAATAAGTACGTAGCTCTTCTATTAAGTAATTACTAGGGAATTAGAAGCGCAATCGGTTCTCTCGTTTAATCGTCGCGTTAATTAAAGCGTGGGTGATTTTTGTATGTTGCTGTTTTAGCTACGCTCTTGAAATTAAAATCTACACAATATGTTAAGACCCGATTCGGTCTCTGCTACCCGATCTCACGACCAGAACACAGTGATCAATTTTGACTAAGCACGTGGACATGAGTTTTGAAAGCAGTCTAAACGTATCTAAACCATTTTTCTATAGGTTTTCTACGACGCTCTTTCCAACCGAATGGTTTTCGAGTTTTAAAAAAGTTTTCCAAGGAGTTTTACAGAGACCGGATCTCTCCAAACCACTTCAAAAACTTTATCAGAATTCAAAAACCATTCCATTGGAAAGAGCATCGCTGAAAACCTATAGAAAAAATTTTTAGAAGCGTTCATGATTTTAAATCTTGACTTTTAAATTTTCGGGCAAAAAATTCTACGTGCCGATCCCAAAATCTAAGAATTCGATAAGCTTCAAAAGTATATGTCCAAAACCCAATGAATTATACGCCATTCGATGGAGTTCTTAAGCTGATTTTGAATATGCAATTGGTTCTTGATTCTGATGTTTCTGAACTGCGAGGACTTGATTTTACCTCAAAAACCAAGGGTTTTTGGAAAACCTCTCCCACTGTAGGGAAGCGTTTGGGCTATTTTGGGCTAAGTGCACAGACGTATCATGTAAAGAAGAATATTTACTGAAAGTGCAGCTTCGGTGGACATTAGGGGAATTTAGGACCCCTACTCTACTAAAATTATTTTTGCGAAAAACGCTTAGTCTCCGGAAAACTCTGTTTTCTCCTACCAAAAACTAACTAAAATTAAAAACTTCTTTTATTAATCGATAGCCTGGAAACTCAGCTTTCAGAGTATATGTGTTTCATTTTTTCTGAAGTTCGTTCTGTTGACAGAAAGAGCAATATTTTTTAAAGGCCACACAAACCGAGCTAAAAATTGTAGCTTACTTTTCTCGATGACCTTAGGCACTAGCGCCAAAATGTTTTCACCATTAAATAGGCCACTGATCGTTGTATATGTAGAACTCATCGAATCTCTAAAAATCTCACTTTCGTTTTTTTCCCAAATGTCCACGTTGTTGCGCACTGTGCAGAATTACAAAAGGCACAGAGATCTTCGACAGATTTTTCAGACAACCTCTGAAGATCTTCAAGTGAACTTTCAGTATGAGGAATAATTCTAACCTACCTAAACTGTACCGCAAGCGAAACTGAGTGTGTTTTGAAAATTTGAAGCGATTTCGTTGCGAAATGTAGATGCTAAAGCACCTAGTATGCTCTCTTCCTCATCCAAAAAACTATATATTTTAGGCTCTCAAATAGAGTGTTGTACCATAAATAATTCTAAAATTGGTTCATTCTTACCTAGAGCAGTATCTACTACTACGGAAAATATTGAAAATGAAAATTTTTCTTATGATGTTTTGACTAAACCTGTAAGTTTTAAGTTATTTGAAACAAATCCATATGCATCTCATTTGAAACAAGTTTATCCATTGACGATTTATGAAAATGATCTTACAACCGAGATGTTAAACATCCTCAAAACTTATACCGGCAATCATTATGTAAGAACAAATTTAAATTTATTAACAAATTATGATATCGATTGGGATTATATAAATAAATTGCGGTCAATAATAAGAGGTTTATATCAACATGACTTAAGACCTGTTTGTTATAGAGGATTGATTTTAAGTGATATTGAAATAGATTACTATAAGAAAAAAATTGGTAAATGTTGTTATACCAATCCATTTTCTTCATTTACAACTGAAAATAATTTAATATTCTTTGGTAATGCAACTATTATATTAAAAACAAAACCGGGTAATAGATTGAATATTGCTAATGTATGGAAATGGAGTCTTTATCCCGATGAAATGGAAGCTATTTTATCTATTAGTTCAAAAGTGAAAATTTTAACTGTTAAAAAGTGAAACGAAAAATGGAAAATCGAAGTTGAGTAAGTAGATAATGAATAATGAAAACATTGTCACGATTGATTAAAATACTATGCTGAATACTATACTACTCTGTTAGCTCTTCTGTTTGATGATTTTCAAATACTAAAAAAATGTGGTTTATTGTTATTTTAACGACATGTTCGTATGTGCTTCTTTTCGTTTTGTTCTTCTCATGATTAACTATTGATAATATGAGATATCATGGGAATGTGCACACGGCTGGCCAAGTACAACTGACCTAAGTCAATGGTCAGCCAGATATCGGTCTTTCTCTGTGTTAAAATGGTTCTTATACCCCAAATGACCAGGCAACTCTCAAAAACCCTCAGCAACACTCAAAAACAAGAATTATGGGGAGACAGTTTGTACTCGGAAACTTCTCGCGCGGATATTTCTTAGTCGGACATGCGTTCCCATAGGATACCTGGATGGATTTTACTCTAGGACAGTTCAACTTCTAGAATAGTTCTTCTTCCTTCCGGATTTCTTTTCCAGCCTTCGTACTGAATGCTATCGCAATATAGATACAGAATGGATCGACTTAGATCTTGTACGTGTATTCTTATATACGTATGCATATGAAGGGGTGAGATTGCGCGGTTCAAAGCAAAAACTACTGGCGAAATATTGTTATGTTCGCTTACTCTCTCCCCGTTCTTCAATACTTTGAAATACGGATGTAGGCTCTGTATTGAGGTAAAATCCTGGACTTTGATATACATAGGCAGATAAGAATGCATGTACAGGATTTAAGGAGATCCATTCTGTATCTGTATTATGACAGCATTCAGTACAAAGGCTGGAAAAGAAATCCTAGGTGCGGAAGATGTATTTCAAGACGAAAAGTATGAACTTTTTTTTCTAGGCGTATATTTTGAGTATATTTGAGGTTATTAAATATTGAAAACCCCGAAACACTAGACCTGTTCTTCTCCTTCCTTAAAACTACAAATTCGAAAACTATTTTGTATGGAAAATTCAAAATAACCTCATTAACCGATAGAGCACATCAGAATGTACTAGAAAATATCGAATGGACAAAAGCGATCGGGTTATTTTTGCACAATAAAGTAAATGTATTAAAAAATGATAGTGAGCAGAAAAAAATATCACATTTTTTTCT